ATAAGGGAACTGATGAAGTATAATTATGTATTCGCTTGGAAACAAATATTTAATTTTTTTTTATTTTTTTTATATAGTTATAATACAAGTAATGGTATAATACAAAAATAAAAAATAATCTTTGAATTTTATTATTCTGAATTTGGAAATTCGATGAATAAATATATTATTTAAATTGAAAATGCGCGAGCAATTTGGTATAAATTTTTTTATATTCACCTGTTTCGGATGAAAGAATTATTTAATAAAAGTATTTCTAAAATTTTTCTATCACGGGAGTGATGATCACCGGTGACTGAAATTATGACAATCGACCAGAATTAAAAAAATATAGTGCCGGTAAAAATTGATAATTCTGGCCAACGCCCACGGTGATTTGAAGTAAAAACTCTTTTAGCAAAATGTAATAATTTTAAATCCATTTAATACTATACGATATAAATTGTGGGGATCATTCCTATTCCTCAATGTTTGTTGCCTCACTTTCTAAAATACAATTTGATACGTTCATTCTCTTGATAATCAATATATAATGTATAAAGTTTAAATAACCTGCACCGAGAATGAATATTGATTATTAATGAGAAAACAAGTCAACATTATTGAGTGAAAAGATTTGTATTATTACTATTATAATTAGTTTTTTTTTAATTTTTTACGATAGCTTTTTTCATATTTAGACCCTGTATAAATAATTTGAATTGTGTAACATTGAAAAATGTAATATTCTTGCTTTTCATATTTATCATATCATAATTAAGAAAATTTGATTGAGTTTCCTGACTACGATAACCAATCTTTAAACTAATACATTTCCGGTTAATTAAAATTTTAACTGGATTTTTTTTATTTTGATGGATTAATACTAACAAAAAAAGTATAATTTTTCTTATTAATTACAATTTATTTGCGGTCATTTCCGCTCCCAGTTTAGTTAGTTACCACTAACCATTTTCTATAATAATAATTTTTTTTCATTTTTCGGTTTTTACCGTAAAGACTGAAACTACCTTTTTAGTCTTTTTTTTATCAATTTTTTTTATTTCTCTTTTTTATTATTGTTAACAACAAAAATTTTTATTATTTTTTTTTTTCGTTTTATTTTTCATTGGATATTTTTAGAGAATTTTTTTTTAATCGGAAGTCTTAACCGTAGAAATCTGAACAATTAAGAGAAACTATCATACAATTTTTTGAATTTCACGTATCTTGAGCCTGATGGGTTGTTTTTGTAAAATAATTTTTGTTATCCACCTGACATGAAATCCCGTGTTGCTAATCAATTTGAACTGCACGTCACGTATGTAACATATGTTATACAAAAAAGGAATGGCTTTATATCCTATGCCCATCGCGGTTTAGCTCAACAAAATTAGCCCATAATAACAGATAAGGACATTCTGCAATATGGATTAATGGTAATGCAAAATATATTAAACAAAATGATGAAAGTTGGAAAAAAAAAAGAACCTGAACCCATAAAAGTAGCTTTAAAAAAATTAAATGAATCTCGAAACATTTCAGCTATATATTTAAATTTATTGTTAAGTGATTATTAAATATAAAAAATTATTGTTACAACTTATTGACTTTTAAATCTTTATAGAATAAAATACTTTGGAATTTTTAAAATAGCAATTCTTATTTAAAATTTTATGGAATAATTAAAGACAGAAAAACTAAAGAATTTATGATGATTATACAATTAGCAGATCAAGGAATTTTGAGAAGTGTTCTTTCGAGTACAGTACTGTAATTTTAACAATCTGTTATGGAGAGATAATTTAGTATTCCTATTGAAATACATAATTCATTATAACATGATAATTTTGATAATTTTGCAATTCCCATTCATTACGTATTTATGTATCGTTCAGTCCACTACTAAATGTCAATTGTTGTCATATTGAACTACTTTTTTATTTGTAGATGGAATCACAAGATTAAATATTTTTAATCTAGTTGATATTGATTCATTGGTAATTAATTCAGTTGATTCAGTTGAAATAGCCGTATATTTGAAGAAAATAAATTGCATAATTTTATTTAAGGTGTATTAAAAATTATTAAAATATGGTCTTGTATACTATAATTCAATTAATCTTAGCATACTGGATTGTTGGTAACACAGCAAATCACGTCTCAGAATGTGACGTTAGTCTTTTTTTTAAAGCTCTTTGAATTTAGAACGTTATCTGTTATATATATATATATATACTGTACTATTTTACCGTATGTTTAAAGCTTAGAATAAAACTTATTACTTGGGAGGCTGGACAATTGAATACGTGCCTTTAATTATTGCCACGATAAAATGAACGATAATACGTGCACAAAGGATCAAAATAAACTTTAGATATTATTTTAGCATTTACTACTAACGTTACAATGAAATATTTGTTTGATATACAGTACATTATTTTTTTTTAAAAAAATTTAATATTGAATTTCAAATACAAGTAAGCAATCCCACATGATGTGACAAAATATTTCGAGTAATTCTCACGCAAAGTATACAGGTTTAATTAAAAGATCTTTTCATTATAAAGAATTTATTTATCATTCCATATAATATCCATAGAATTATCATTATCTCAAAAACCTCTATAATCTACTCCTTTCATATTGTATTTATTATTAATGAATTCCAATTACTTGTATGATCATATAGATGTAAACTTTTTTACCTTTCCCATTATTAAAAAAATTTTTCAAGGATTTTATAAAAAATATCTATAATCAATTGAACCTTGTATAAACTATTTAGTGCCGATTTTAACTTTAATTTGTCATCTCCTTTTATTACAATTACATCTATTGATTCTAAGTGTTGACATTTGGTGAAAAAAATTTCCAATTCATCCAAGTTCTGATTACTTAAAAATATTGAAGCATATTTTATGTATGGATAATTTTTATAGATTGCCTGAATATATTCTCTAGAATGAGTGATTTTGATAGTTCTAATTTTAATTTTCCAAAGATTTCCTCCTGTATTTTAAATAATCTTTATTGCTATATGAATTGACATATGTTCAAGTATTGAAGTTTAGGTCATATCGCAGCTGTTAAATTCTTCTCAATTATTTCACTTTCTACATACATTCTTTCAGATAATATTAAAGTTTGTAAATTTACAAACTTTGGGAATAAAAGGTATGAAAAAGTTTTTGCATTGATAAATTTAGATAAATTATTGAGTCTGCATATTCGTCTAAAGCCTTAACAATATCACGTTCTCCATTTGTAATCTATTTAATTCGTTTTTGCGTTTTAATTAGTTTAGCAATGTTGTCATAATTAAATTCTATATAAATCTTTTCTATTAATTTACATATATGTGTTATTCCATAAAATAATGATGTTTCTAAACATGATTTACAATCAACTTCATTTAAATTTAATAAACAAATCTCCACTCCAGGAAATTGATATATTGGATGTCTTACTTCCCCTAAATCCAAGTAACTTATATTTGAACATTCACTAACAAAAAGTTTATAAATTTCGTGTCTAATAAAACTATTTGAAAGATACTTAAAAACCTCCATAGATATCTTGATTTAATAAAAAATTATGAACACAACAAAATCTAACATAATTAAATGAAAGTTTTTTATTAAGTTCCTCCTTTGAAATGATACTGATATTATGAAAGATTAAAAGTTACTTTGATTTTTCTGATAAATGTGTTAGAATAATATTTAATAAAAATCTTTCATTATTGATTTCAAAATATTTTAATGAACATTTCCATAAAGTTGGGATGACGAGTTCACATTATTGTTTATTAACCAATAAACAAGAAAGTAAAGAACTTCCATCATTATTTGATTTCTGAAAAATATAATGAAGTATATCGTTATATAACTTTGCCATTATTTATTTTGTATTTTTATTTTTAAGAAAAGAGAATGATATAATGATATACTGAGAAAAGTTAGGATTTAAAGCACGTATTTATTATGTTGATGTCGAGCGAGTCGCGTGATTCGTGTCAGATGACAATGTGACAAATGATTAGTCATCAAGACGCGATTTACTTAAGCCATAAATTAAGCTATTACCAAAATATCAAAAACTTGGATATGTAAATTACATTATTACGTTATCCGTTTTATCTTATTCAAATGCTCTGACAATAACCTTTAACATTATTACATTTTTTTATTCTCACGTATTATTTTACGAAAAAATGCAATAAAGAATTTTGCTTTCAAACTTTTTAACTATTTTCTCGCATTTTTTTAATACTTAATTTTTCTGCAATATCAATCTTGAAAAAATATCACATGTATTACACAAATAGAAAAAAACTACTCAAATTTCATTGAATATGAAAGATCTTCCTTATCTTCCTGCTTAAAGGTCGTTCCTGTACTTATTTTCCTATTGAAAGCAATCACTATACTCCGTGCTTTTAATTTCATATTCACTTTATGACTTACGAATAAATCACTTTAATTTATTGTATAATACACAAGGATAAAGATAAAGCTGAATGATATGTAGATTTTCTCTCACTGTTCTCGCCGTAATATTATGTCCAATCTTAAACAAAGATTTTATAAAGCGAAATGCTACCAAAGGTATTGGAAACGAGTGTTCCAGAAATTTTTTTTATGGCTGTGGTATCGCGAATAAATTGTAATAATTTGTAATAAGATTAGAGAATATTCGATAATTTTGCTTTCTTTTTTATGAAAAATAAATTTTATTGAATACTCAAATCTAAACTTTAGCTACTACCATCAAAATGTAAATTTTTTCCTTATTATAATAGAAAAACATTAAAAAATTTGAATAATTGTCCGGAGCGAAGCGAAGGACAATATATGATGTCTACGCACTATGAAAGAAAATCGATCACGTGAATTTCTCTGTCCTCCACGTGATCGTCACCCAATGAAATCGTAAATTTTAGTTTTCGCTCCGGACTTACAACGGTTCCCGTTTTCTAGTTTAAATAGTATACTAATTCATTCATTAAATCAATATACGGTATTTATACATTTAATAATTTGAATAAATTTATTAAAATTATTTAAATTACAAACTAAGAATTTTGTAAAACATTTACTACTCTAGTCTTAGTGTTTAAATAATCCAAGATAAATAAATAAGTGATAATAATTTAAAATATAAGAAAAAAATATTGTTAATTTGATTTATCAAAAGACAATTTAAAATCCACCTAAAGATAAAAATAGATTAATTATTTGATTTAATAAAGAAATTTATTTTTTTCTACTTTATTTAAGAGCTTACCATCAGGAATTTCCAGTTCATCTTGTTCTTTTGAATGAAAGTTTGGATTATTATATACTTCGTCATCATCTGTAATAGATAAGTAAATAGAATTAAAATAGTATTAAAATTGTTTGTTATTACGTAAAATTTTCACCTACCATTGACATATTTTTGAGTTTTTTCTTTTTCGTCATCTAAATTTTAAATAAAAGCCACGTTTAATAAATTAAATTGATATAGTAACTTTATTTGTTAGTAATTTACTTACTATTTGAATTTATTTGCACCTTTTTAAATAATTTAGATAATTTTTTATTACTATCTAAAAATTAAAGATATAGATTTAATATACAAGTTAATCTCGATTTGACAATAATTAAAATATATTACCTCTAAAAATAGTAATTACTTTTGATGATTTTGATGATTTGCTACTATTCTGTTCATTTGATTTATTAAAGTCGTTAACTAAAATAAAAATTAATTATTAACATTATTATATGATAATTAAACGCTATAATATTATTAAATACTTACTATCGTTAGGAATGTTAAAATCATACAATTTACTATGAAACACTATTAGCAGTAAAATAAAGTATTTAAAACTAAATTATTATAGTAATCAAAAAAATGGTAGAAATTATTATTTATACGGTTATACCTTCTTGTTCTTCTATTATAATAAAAAGATAACATTAATAATGTATTTTAAAATAAATATATTCATTAATAAAATATTATACACTTATACCTTCTGTTGCGTTTCTTGGTTCAGGTAGATTTCCAAAGTTGTGAATTTTACTTGTAAATATTCTGCTACTCGTATAATTTTCTTCTACTTTATTCATTTCTAAATTATCCATTTCTGATTTGAATAATTCATCTGACATATTTTGATAATATAAATAAATTTTTTGTATTTTATTCCAAAGTGTAAGTATATTAGGTCTTTTTAATGGATCAGCATCCCAACATTCTTTCATTAAATTTTTATATTCTAATGGAGTTCCTGGCACAATTTTTGGCCTTATACCGTTAATAATATTCATTACAATATCATTTTCATGTTCATAATTTATAAATGGTGTTTGTCCAGATGAAATTTCCCACATAAGAATTGCAATACTATAAATATCAGATGCAAAAGTATATTCTCTCCCAACAATAACTTCGGGAGCTATGTAAGGAAGATTTCCATATATACTTGTTGAAGATTTATCTGCAGGTCCACAAAATCCAAGATCACTAATAATCCATTGATCATTAAGTTGTGAATATAATATATTTCCAGAATGTAAATCTCTATGCACTGCTTTCTCTTTATGAATACGATAGAGTGCAACAGCTATTTTATTAATAATATACATTCTATCTTTCCATATAAGTTGATTATGATTTTGTTGTAAATATTTTCTTAAATCTATATCCATTTTCATCATTACAAGCATATAATTTCCATTTGATGGATTTTGCGTTAAACCATAACATCGAACAACATTCGACCATTTATTACTTATAGTTAAATGCGATTTAGCCTAAAAGACAATAATTTGTAAAAATACTAGTGCTAATACAAAAATTACAACAATTTTATAAAATATAGAATACAATAATACAAACCTCTTCAAACCAACTTTTATTTGCACTTTCAACATTTTCTAACGTTTTAAGTACTACATATGTCACTATGTTTTGTATTCCAGGACTTTCAACTCTTTTTAATTGTTTTTTTTCAGAATCCCATTCATCATATCTTCCATTAATCCAATCTGCTGTATAAATTTCAGAAAATCCACCTTTTGTTAAATATTTAATATTTTCTAAATTATTATATGGGATCCATTCAACTATATTACTCGGCATGAGTGATTCCATTTGACATTTCTGTATTAAATTATCAATATCATCATTTCCAGATGTCCAATTTGAAAAATCTTCTTTTAAATAATTTTGAACACAATATTCACAATATAATGTGGCTAAACATTCTTGCTTACAATTTTCACAAATTCTTTTTGTACCATCATTATACATAACTTTATTTCGATCATAACCTATAGTTATCCATCTTATTGCATAAGTTTTTTCATCATTTGTAAGAATTTTATCAGCAAGGACTGTTTGGTTATGAAATTCAAATTGCTTGTGTATATTGTTGTAAATATTAGTATCTGTTAATGATGTTGCTCTATGAATTGTTGCATAAATTAATTCATATCGAAGAGTGGACATAATGTAACCAATAAGAAAGAAAGAATGAATGAATTATTTTAAGTTCATTCACTTGATAAATTAGTAAAATGAAATTGATGATCAAAATTTCATGTCCCACATAAATTTTGTGACCTTGATGCGTAATATTTTACGCCTCATAACCAAAAAAAGAAATTAGTATGATAAATAATTTACGTTTTTTTATTTTTTATTTTTATTTTTATTTTTTTTTTCCAGCGAATATAATTTGCGTTTAACAAATTTGATTGTCATACTTAATGAATAGATAGTATCCTTATTAATATTAAATAATTAGATAAACAAAAAATAAATAATCACTATTTTTTTTGTGAGGACAAATTATTTATATGGAGATTACTCTAAAGTCTAAACGTCAGACATTTTTTTTTTTTTTGTTATATAGATGAAGTTTAAAAAATTTACAAAATAAAATAACAAAAAAAAAATACGAAATATATTAAATTATATTCCAAAAATTGTACTTGGTTTTTCATGTTGTATTAATTATATTACAATAAATTTAGTAATAAAAGAAAAAAAAATTCTTTTTACATAGTGTTTAATTTTACTATAATAGGACTGAAGAAATAATATATAATATTAGGACCTAATTTTGTAATAAATAGACTTACTATATAATTTTTCAGTAAGTCAAATTAAAAGTGATTTATTGTAGGATTTTTTAATATTCATCTAAAATCTTTTTATTTAATAAAATTCATTTTTAAAAAAATCCTTTTTTAACGAGAAATTTTTTTTATAAAGTCTATGGAAATTTTTTAATAAATCCATTTGAATTTTCGATATAGATTTTTGTTTGGGAAAACTAAATTTCTGCATTAAATAATTGATGCATTCAGAAAAATTTACAAAATTAATTTTATTGTTGAAAAAAGGTATTTAATTGAAAAATCTTAAAATATTAATAGAAATCGCCATAATATGTATAGTTTATTGAATCGTAAAATGGAGTTGAAATTTTTCATGTCAAAAAATTTTAGAACGGAACAAAGGTGGAAGAGCTCACAGCAAACTATTAATGAACCACTTATTAATTATGTGTCCTTTCCTTTGGTTATACCGATTCAAAACCTATGGACATGATGATATTGACTATTTCGTATTCTTGATGTCATATAACAAACATTACACTTCGAAGCGGTGTTGCGATCCCCGTTCATCCATCACTTGGATAGTCTTCAGAGATTGGTACTGTAAGATCTACGCCCGTGATAAATCTCGTTGCCATCGCAGTCTTAACATAAAGATACTTTATCAATAATATAAAATTACAATAAATTAATATAATAATGCTCAATTTAATAATATTTCCAATATAATTTCTAAAGTATAATCATAATTTCTAATAAATTCTTATAATAGATCCTCTTTCCAAAACGTCCAAATTTTCTCCTTTTATAATTTCTGTCGATCATTATTTTTCACTAAACAAGATAATCTTGAAGCATTTAACTTTACCAAATGATATTTATCTTTAGAATATCAGAAAAAATCTTAGTTGAATTTCTTTCAAAAATATTATAGTACTACATGTATTTGCAAAATAAGAATATTATCAGTAAAATTGCGCTACGCACAGTTACTTGGCACTTTGTGCCGAGTAACAATTAAACAATTATAAAGATATAATTAGAAAAAATATTATGTGGACCTTCTCATTCAAATATGGCTGCTAGAACATACGGTAATTGAAATTTTTGATCGGAAATTCACGTGATTTACGTGATATCTGCATATAATTAATTATACGCATTTTTACAACTCTATCGTCAAAATTATACGTTACAGTCGTTACATTGTTTTTTTTAAAGGTGAAGGATGATCTTTCAATCTTCATGCGGTAATACGTTATACATCGGTTGATTACGGGTAGGGAAAAATAACCAAAAGAAAAACCGATTTGTTGTTTTATTTACAATACACCGGGAATACAATTCCGTAAACCAACCAAATACGATAGCTCAGCTACCGACCAAATTAAAAATGTTGATCGTACAACAAGCCTAATACTAAAACGTGTTTATTATATCTATGTTTTGCCTTCGGAATAAGATCCGAAATACTATTCATCTTTTGTTTACAGTTTGAACTTTGAAATGCAGAATTCGATTTTGGTATTCTTAAGAAAGCAACGTCTAAATTATAATGTTGGATCGAATTCCAAGAAAAAGTTCGGAACAAATAAAAAACTTAATAAAAAAAATTATAAAAGGATTGAATCTCCTAGCAAATTCAAAATAAAAATTGAAATATGTTTTTTTAAAAAAAGAATTCTCCTATAATTAATAGTCACCAAACTACCTTTAAATAATTTTTAAAATGAATCATATTAATAATATCAACGTGTTTTGCGATAGCTTTCTGGAAGGGAATATGATCCTTTATAAACATTATGACGACGATAACAGCACGGTATTTCGATTTCGAAACAAGCATACGGTAGAGCGTGGAATCGGTGGGTTTAGCACATTTGGTCTTCTTCCCAAGATTGATGTCTCTAATATTTACGCTATAGTTATAAAATTTCAAGATAGAAACGTAGAAGAAGCATGCACATTATTAGAAAATTGTGAAATTCCCGCTCAACAAATGATTCAAGATAATAGAAAGTCAGTTAAAGGTGAAAATTTTATCAACTTTCTTAAACAAATGGAATTTTACGTGACAAGAGAGGAGCATACCTTTTTTACGTCATATTTGGTAACTATTAAAAAGTCGCCTGATGATGAACCAAGACACGAATCCTTGGAAATATTGTATCATGATAAAATTAAAACGGAATTAGGCTTGGATAGTTTTGGTACTTTTGGTACCAAAATTGCGCGAACTATTCTTACAAACTTTCTTAGCAATCAAGTAGATAACACGTCATCTTAATATAATTACATTTTTATATACAATAACCCGTTTTTAAATTAGTAAAAATATAATTACATTTAGTTCGTTAAACCCTTTTTTAAATTAGTAAATATATTTACATTAGTTGTATGGTTCATATTATTATGAGTCCCTTTTTTTCATTATTAAATATTACTTGATGAAGAACTTCAGTATAATAAATACAAAGAAAATTATAATTACATTTGGATGTACTCATGAAATATATTGTAGACTTTCGTTTAAGTGGCCGTGAAAATTTATATTTAAAGTTATAAAATATGTAACTGACATTTAAAGACATACTATAGTTAAAGAATAATAAAAAAAAATTAACCCTTCTCTAAATATTACATACCCACCAACCTACATAAAATTATTATTTAGTAAATATACTTGAATAAATAAAAACAAAACCATTCACATCTTCTAATACATAACTTACTCCATATTTAAAATTAGAGATGCACCTACAATTTACAAAGAATTGAAAGAATGTTAGTAACTTTCTTAAATAGTAAAGAAAGCACACACGCGTTTTTATAAATACATACCAAAATTATATTTAAAATCCAAAGGAGGGACCTACAAAAAAACTTCTCACCATCTCCAAACATACTCACCTTTAGATAAATAGGCCTTAAATACTAACTGAAATTCACGCCAGCAGTCCAGGGGGCGTTCTAGAGAAAAAAAATTGAAGAGACGTTAGAAACAAGAAAAAGTACCTCTTTCTTCGCTTACACTTACAAATCCAGATATCCAAGATGCGTCCAAGTGCAGCCCAAAGAAAAAAAAATGAAAGAACGTTAGAAACGTTCCTAAAAAAAAATAACTAACTTACATGTCCAAGTCCAGTAAAGTGTCATAAGCTAAGAGCATCTTCAAGACTTTTGAAAAAGATTTTAATAAATGGTTTAAAACAGTTTTTTTAAAAAAAATGGCAAGTCGAAACTGATCTATGCAATCCGTAGTAGCGGTCCCTCCATATATGTATATTGATTTTTTTGATTTTGTTTAATTTATCAGGGAGACGAAAATAAAATTAAGAATATAAAAAAAAATAGTTGAAATAAAAAAATGAATAAAAAAATTTCATTGTAGAATATCTATCTCTATTGAAATAATTGATAATTCAATATATGAAAGTCCAACTGAAATTCATCAAAATGTACGAACAATACCTATTTCCCAATATCATCCATTAAATATTCATCAACAAAACAAACAGAGTGACAAATTATCTATAACTATTCCAACTATTCCTGAAGAATACGTGAAAAGTTACAATCTAAGATTGTAGTGTGTCACTGTGTGTGGTTCAACAGAAATGGGCAAGATTATATTATATTAGTATAGAATAATTAATTAATTAATAATGATGTTTTAGAACATTTAGTATTTAAATGATATCTATCAAGTACTTATGTATTCGGTCGAAAAGTACCAAATCAGGCATTTTTTGCCGTAAATCTAAGTCATTATTGATTTCGAATGTCAAAAGTAATCGCTGGTTAAAACATAATGTGACCGAGCCAGAATTTTATCAAGTACTTACGTATTAGTACGTATTAGATCCTTGAGGATCGGTAGCAGATCGCAGAGATTTGGAACTTCGATGATGATCAAAATTACAAGATCAAGATTTGTTTATATATTTTACTATATTGTTTCATAAAGGAAATAATGACTCATAAAATCTTGAATCTTGATGAAAAAAAATATCTTTTTTTTAAAAAAAAAGTTAAAAAAAGTTAAAAAAAGTAAAAAAAAAGTTAATGAGTCATGACTAATATTTATAGGGGTATATTGATCGTGAATCACATTTATTGCATCGATCTATTCCTAATTTTCTAATGTATTAATTAGATCTGGAAACTAATAACTACAAAACTACCATCAAATTAAAAAAACTAAATTGCGTAATATCAATATCACTACAGAATCATTTCTCCTATCATTAATCAGTTACAAAGATTTGTTTCTTAAAGGAAATAAAATCTTGAATCTTGATAAAAAAAAATTTGATAAAAAAAAATCTCAATTTTTTTTAAAAATTGGTTATCAAAAACTTCAATTAATTCGGAATTATTTTTTTGAAGTGGGGTTAAAAAAATCGTATATTTTCTTTCATAAAACAGAAACTGCAATCGTATCTGCAGTATCACTTCAGAAAAATATTGGTTCATTTATCATAAGATTTTCTTTTATTTCTTTCCAATACAATATGTTCACGATTTTAAAGGGCAAAAAAATAATAATTTTATCTACTAAAATTCTCCAGCGCTAAATTTATTTGATTATTAACCAGTTTACTGACGAAAATAAAGAATTGAATTATATAAAGATGCCGCTATTCACGGGCTCTAAATATAAAAAAATTTGATGATTGTTATATTAAACATTAAGCATTACTATTTAATTTTACAAATGAAAAAAAAATATTTTTAATTTAAACGAAAAAAATTTTTTATTATAGATATGTAATAAGCGTTACTTTCACAAAATAAAAATATTTTATAATAATAATTCAATTTTTCAGCTTAAATAAAATATAATATATATAATACATATCTTTTAAAAAGATTGGTTCTCAAGACTTGAGAGTTGAGACATTGAAAGATTTTTTTTCTAGAAAATATTGCATCTGTTGAAACAAGTAACATTCAATCTATGGAAACAATGAATAATATTATTTATTAATTAAAGTATATAACGTCGGATCATGACTTTTTTAAAGAATCTGAAATGAAATTGGGATTACGCCTGTTAAAAAAAGAGAAACATTATAATTTGTGTCGTTGTAAATAATTAAATTGTAATACTTAATGAAGTCATGATTTATGCGAAAGTACATTTTTTATATGAAAAATAATGTTTACTTTTACGCGTAGACTTTGACACGGACAAATTTTAAGGAATTTCACATTTTGTAATTACTATATATAAATATTTATTATAGTTTATAGTTCTGACTTCTGATTAATAGTGAAAATTATTATTATTTATTATTATTATTATTTTTTAAAAATAAGATTCTTAATTAAACACATACAATTTATTTAAATTTAAATATGCAAATAATTTTTTATATTACGGTTTTTTTTCGGCCTTTCTAATATATTCATTGTTCAAATCGCAACCGTCGCACTTATTTAGGACTATATTAAAATCTTCAGGATCGTTTTTGGTTAATATTAATCAAATTATTTTCGTGACCACAAACTTTTCCATAAGATACCGGTTTGTTATGAATTTGCTAACATATGATGACAGTTAATCAACTAACTTTTCAAATCTTTTCCACAATATATCATTTTACCTTTTTTTATTATTGACGTTTGAGTGTAGAATGAAATTCGGATTAATTAAGAAATTGTGAAAAAATAATTACCAATAAAAATTGAAAAAACATTTTCGAAAAAAAACTTTTTTTATTATGAAAATACTACAAATATTTTGGCTTATTAATTAATTATAAAATTTTATAATTTCTTATTATTTATATTACGTCAATCTTAAACTTGTAACCAACTTAGGAAAAATATTTGAACAATTAAATGTATTGATTTTTTTATAAAAATAATAATTTTGTAAAATATTAATATAATATTAACTAATTTTTTTTAAGTTACATATTATATTGATTCAAAAAAAAAAATTTTTGCATAATAATTAAGTTAGTAATTAATTACAAAAAAAATTTAAAAAATAAAAATTTAATTAAGATAGATTATAAAAACTAAAGCTAACTTCACCTATATATAAGAATTTTTTGGGTTTCTACCTGGTCTTGATGATAATAACTTAGAGATAATTAAATAACCAATAATGATCTATAAATAGAAATAAAAAGGTTATCCTATGATCACTCAGATAAATGAGTTATTGAATTACTAGGCTGATATCAGAACGCTCATCCACGCTTACTCAGGCATATATACCAGATTTCATCTAGACTCACAAAGAATCCCGACAAATAGATATATTTGGAAAACCTTAGACATATATATACGTGAGCAGACCCATGAACTAAATCGTAAAAAAGCCTTAATTGCAATTAAAGCTCAATTGAACACAATAACTCACCTAATATCAGGGATAGTAATAAATTTCTGTTAATATTGTTAAGAATAAGGTGGGGATGAAAGGGAAAGGGAAAACGAAGGGGAAAGGGGAAAGGGGAAATGAAAAAAGAAGGGAAAAGGGAAAGAGACACAACCCACACTCCCACCTACATATCTAAAAGAAGATGTAAAAAAGGAAATGGAGAGAAGACCTAATAAAAAGAAGACCTAAAGAAAAGAAGTCCTATCGGGTGAAGATACCATGTTCAAGATTATTTAATTGAAGAGAGAAAGCAAACTCCAGAGAGACGCCTAAAAAAAGAGTTCGTCATGAGTAATTTTTTTTGCATGAGTATTCGTATGACTGATATTAGTAATATATATCAAATGAGTAATATAGATTTATAACTCGGATCTAGTGATTATCAAAAATATTTGGTTTTTTTGCTTTAATTATAATTCCGTTAAACCAATCGCATCACAAATTACCTTCAACCATTTATCAACTTTAACGTTCTCAAATGTCAGCATCATAATGACCGCTCAATTAAATAAAAATTAATAAAATATCCGATTTGTTATGTGATTTTCGTATTGAACGTTAATCAGATTTCTCCTACGTATGATAGACAAGAAGGGAAGAGGAGCGATAAAAGTGATGCTTAAATATGATGATGCATTTCATTTGGACAAAAAGTTTTGGAAAGCATTTGAGAGTTAAATTAATTTATCGTAGAATAACTAGTTGGAGATTGATAATAAGATTAAGCAAAATGTAATAACAATATAAACTCTTTTTCGATGATATCATAATGAAATTTTAAGAGTAATGTATTTTATCATCTGAGGATGAAATTCCCTTTATTGTAAAATCAGTTGAAATTTATCAAATTTATCAGTAAAACAATATAATATTACAATTAATAGCGGCTA